TTCATGTTAGTTCTGATCACAGACGATGTCTTTATGCATTTAGGCCAGGTCGGGTCAGGTCAGGTTAGATCAATTATTAGGCGTCCTGCCGGCCATCCATAGAAGTGTCACCTACTACTGATAGCTTCGTAACATGGAACGAAGGCACAAGAACTACTTCGTAAATATTCAAATGGCTGCTAAAATCGAAATCAGCACCAAAAACTACCCTAGTAACAAGTAAAACTGGAAAAAGTGAACCAAGGTCATCAAAAGGTCAATGACCTTGACTTGACCTTCACGTGACCTTGACACCCACCATTATGCATGGCACCAACATCATTTCGCATATTTGAACGTTTAAAACCACAAAAAGATTGGAAACCGCGGATAATGTGAGCTGGCATACGCCGAATCGCGATTCCGGCCAAACATGGTCTCGAGAAATATGCCACAGGTCAAAGGTCAGTTGGGTCAGAGTCATGAAATTTTTAGGTTAGATGTAAAATTGATGATCTCGAGGGTATCGAAAGTTTCGGCGCGATCGGCCGCTTTTTGCGCGAGTAATTTGCGGAAAACCATGGGGTTTTATCCGACCCCTTCCCCCTCCCCCTCCCCACAAGTGCGATGGTTAATAAGGTTACGGTATGTATAATTTACGCTTGTCATCCTATTCCTAATGAATGTGTCTCAGAAAATATGCATCATATAAATCACGAAGTAAAATTATTCGCCAATGTCCGGAACATACCTATATCGTGCTGTTTGCCCTAGCGCTCCTCGAGTGGGGTGTTAAGATACTCTAATGTTAATATTCCGTGTTCAGGCAAGTTTCGGCAGCCAAACTAGGCGTTGTCTTGTGGAGAAGAAAGTGGCGAATTCGATAGGATATATTTCGGAGTGGAAAAATGTGGAGAACATTGTTGATTTCCTACATTTATTTAGAATACCATTCCTTCAATATGGTGTCTGTAAGGGTTTTTTGTAAAGGGCATTTTTGTGACCTTAGTAAGGTTGTGGCATACTTTCTGTTTGCCATTCCATTCCTAATAAAGGTGCCTTTCAGACGATATGCAACTTTAAGACCTCGCAAAATTAAAACCAACAGGACAGGACAATGAAATTGAGCTATACTTTCGGGCCTTGCTGAGCCCATTGAGTAATCACGCATGAGTGTGAACTTTGGGCGCATTTTTCCTAGTTTTGCTGTGGACATACAGATAAAACAATGCCATATATGAAAAATTCAGATATTTCTTAGCCCTACTGACACAAAAAATAAACAAAAATCCAAAAAATATTTTTTGAATTAATAGGCGCTAGATCGGAAAAATCCCCACTGTGGATCGTTAGGATTTTGCTACGATGAATATTGGGGATGTAATTGCAACTCATTAAAGTCAATTAGCAGCAATTTCGGCATAAGGTTGGTGATCCTTGTTTTGTGTGGCTTCGGTAATTTCGTGATTAGGCATTTCATTCGGTATCGGCATGATAATTATGGTTTCGTAGTGTGACGGAAATGGTTTCGTAGTGGACAACATAATAGATATCTATCGGGCTGGAGGCCGTTCCATTCGTAACAAAGGGCCTTTACTCGTGACGTTCACCAGGAGGGGCCGTGCACGGTAAAGCACCGCTGACGCTGATTATTCCTCCGCTGCCAATAGTGTTCTGATTTGATCCTCTCCACTCTCCCTCTCTCTCTCTCTCTCTCTCTCTCTCTCTCTCTCTCTCTTTCTCTCTCTCTCTCTCTCTCTCCCTCTCTCTCTCTCTCTCTCTCCCCTTCGTTATCTCTCTCTCTCTTCCTCCTTCGTTATCTCTCGCTTCCTCTCTCTTTCTCCCTTTTCCCTCTCTTTTCTCTATCTGTCTCTCTCTCTCTCTCTCTCTCTCTCTCTCTCTCTCTCTCTCTCTCTCTCTCTCTCTCTCTCTCTCTCTCTCTCTCTCTCTCTCTCTCTCTCTCTCTCTTTCCCTTACCCTTACGATGAACACGCAGCTACACGTACGTACAGTCACTCAGGCGGGAACGGGAGACAAGTTTCGGAGGCTGGAGGATTCACGATTCGCCCACCGCGTAGGCATGATATTCTCGCACATATAACCAGGAACCTAGGATTAGAAACGAGACCCCTGACAGGAATGGAACGTACGACATAATAGGACGTGTTTAGCCCGGGCGGAAGAGAGGAAGGAGCATGCGACCACGCCCCTGCGCGTTAAGTTCTGCCGGTAAGGACGCATCATTGGGGAGAAGGGACCTGAAAAAAACGTCCAAGTCTAGTTACATGGGAGCAAACGGAAACGGGACACTAAGACACCTAGGAGCACGCAGTAAAGCGCGAACATACGCTTGTGACCGGAGGGCGGCACTGTAAGACGCGATATACGCTGGTAGTCGGGGAGACACCGTAAGACGCGATATACGCTGGTTGTCGGGGAGACACCGTAAGACGCGATACGCTGGTGGTCGGGGAGACACCGTAAGGCGCGATATACGCTGGCGGTCGGGGAGACGCCGTAAGACGCGATACGCTGGTGGTCGGGGAGACACCGTAAGACGCGATACGCAGGTGATCGGGGAGACACCGTAAGTCGCGAACATAGGTCCCTCACTGGTACTTACACCTCGATAGGTTCGGGAATAACTCCAGTAGAGTTCGGGTAAAATTTAAATATAGGAAGGGCCTGCGTCAAGCTCGGACGTATCCATCACTGGCAGGGTGGATGCCATCGGCAGAGCGGCAGAGAACGTTATATGCGATACAATGGTAACCCAGTGACCGCAGTTAGTCGATGAACGGATCCACATCGCGGTGAGTCGGGTAATTTCGGGGACATTGTGCATTTGTTTATTTAGGTAGGCTGCGACGGCAGTTTAATACGAGGTGCCTCGGGAAGTTACGCCGTAAGACGCTAGTCCCGGTTCCAGGACGGTACGCGCCGTAAGTCGCGAATACGCAATAAAACGGTGCCAGCCGTAATAAGGCGCGAAATATACGCTGTAAGTCGTCACGTCGTCATCATAGGGCAAGGACGCGGTAAGACGCGAATAACCGCAGGTGATCGGATAGAGATACCGTAAGTCGCGATTATACGCCGGTTATCGGGGGACGATACCGTAAGACGCGAATTATACGCTGTAAGTCGTCACTTAGTCGTCATAGGGCAAGGACGCTGTAAGACGCGAGTTATACGCCGTAAGTCGTCGGGAGATGCAGTAAGACGCGAGATAATACGTAGTAAGACGTGCTTTGTGATCCCAAATGTAGACCATCGATGAGTAGAAAGGGCCCATTAGGCGGAACGCGTAGAATTAATTGATGTGTTTCGATTAACTCCGATAGGCAGAGTGGAAGTTCAAAGGTTCCAAGGGTACTCCAGAGCCGAGGTAATTTAGGACGTGGGATCGACTGCAGGGATAGGAAAAGGGGGAGGGAAGCGAGACGTCGCAGTTTGGCAATACGGACAAGTTTGAGTCAGATGAGTGAAAGTGTGTGAGACTGGATGAGTGTCTGCGGGAGCAATTGCGCTAAGGTTAATCAGTTCGACCACCTAGCATCCTTTTATTATCCTCAGGGATGGACCATGCCCGAGGGATCCAGAACAAACACTTAACTGCCCCCCTTGTGTTTTTTTTGTGGCGGTGAAACCCAATGATGCAGTGCCTGTGTGTTCGCCAAAGACTGACTTGCCTCAAATGGCCTCGCTAAATGCACTCCTCACCGAGGGCGGACGGCAGAGATCAAAGTCCGCACAGAGCCGACCCGCACCGGGGCCAGACATCAACACAGCCCAGGGCGAATGAGGAGAGAGGTCCCCCTACATTACCAAAAAATCAAAAGACGTAGAATAAGGATTTATAAAAGCTTAGCATACTTATTTGCAAAACGTTTTCATGCAGTCGCACCGTGCCGTTTTCGGACGCCGGTGAAAACAGGGCGCCGGAGGGCATATTAGTCACGTGACATTTGGAAGTGCTCCCCCTTCGTGGGTCTTCTACATGCTAAACGTCACGTGTAAATTTCACCAACCTTGGTCAAATCGCCCAAGGCGCCCTGTTTTCACCGTCGTCCCCGTTTTCGCGTTTTAATTTTCCTCGTTCCCACTTCCTTTGTCCTTAACTTATACTGTGGTTCCAGAGTTCCTGTCCTCTCCATTTCCTTTTAAATATATTTTTTAACCCTCATCCCTATCCCCCAGTCCTAACAGTTTCAAATTGTATTGCAATAAAATTCAAACACAAATGTTTTGAATTCTTCACATAGGTACCTAACATTGACATGCCACGTCCAGAGTCGTGGACCACTAAATACTTCAAATCTCTTCCTTCCCAATCTGACAACATCCCACGTCTCAAATGCACATTGTGTGGAAAGATTTTTCAGGCTGCCCGTCAGTCTCTGTCTAACCAAAACCGTCACATACAGGTAAGATATTTATTTCTATTTCCCTATGGTTAATATGTTATTGATGCATATAATCCATTGAAATAGACATGGTGTAGGGTAAATGGCCAAATCACGAACACTGCCAAAATCCGAGCAGCCAACTTTCAACTGCAATATCTGATATTTAGTGTAAATGGAGTTGGAATATGGCCAAAATTAAATTGACAACTTTTAGGTGAAAGTTGGTGATTTGGGTTAAGGGGCAAGTCAACTACTGGGTTATTTTGCACCCATTAAATGAAACTTCTGCTCCAATTCTACCCATTGAACCTCAATATCATGATCCACCTGTCCATCACTAGGTATCCTTCCTTATTACATAGAAACTTTGAATGGCATGGCAATTTATAATTTTAAATGACAATATTTTTATGTTTCTTCTGTAGGTAGGTAGGTAGGTACACCAGACTGCTATGGACACTTTTCCAAGTTGGTGGGCAAAAAACCTAATGTATGGCTTGGTTTGAGTCGTTTGATTGAGTTGATTGATTCCTTTCATTGTCGCGTTTGAGTCGATTGAATCAATTCCCGAAAACTGCTCTGACTTGATTGATTTGATTGGTTTCCCAAATTTGTCGTGATTGAATTGATTGCTATTGACTGAGTCGTATACAACCCTGTAATCGTGAGTAATGAGTTCAAAAACCAGTTTGAAATCATTAACTCTTCAAACGCAGCTTAAGGAAACCAATGATTCGCCGGTAAATATGATCAACCGTGAATTATCCATGAGCTGCTTTACACAAGCCTTACGCGTTAATATTACCGCCATGACGCCATCTTGCATGTTTGTGCCGGAAGTGCAGCACGGGACGCGGCGGACGCAGTGAATTGGAGGCTGGAGCGACTGGTGAGTGTTAAATGTTACGTATTTTATTGCCTGTAGGTATGTTTAGGTGCAAAATGCATATTTTCATTGAAAATGTACCTACATGTGCACTCACACAACACTACTGATACCTTGGGTTGTCCTGTGGGTTGGTTGACCCTCCTAGTTATGTATTGTCTATAACATGAAAGCCTTTTTGAGGGGTTCATAATATCCATCAAAATGTGGAATATCATATCAGTCATGCTCAACATGCCCCTACAGTGATACCTAACCTGTTATTCTACGGGCAGCTTTGCCAGCGTGAAGCCTAACAGAATAATTAAACATCAAGTATTTTCTTTAAGCCTTTGCCTAAAGCATCTATTTCTGCCAGCCCCTAATGCTCAAACCCTGGTGCAAACATCTATAGGTTAGGATAGGTGGTATATGTGCAAATGAAGTTCGAGTGGTAGGCATGTGGAAGGTTGTATGTTGTAAGATGTAGGCTGCAGCCAATCTACCATGGTAGATTGTAGGTACCTATTTAGGTTGTACTTGTAAGGTCTAGTTAGTAGGTTATAAGGTAAGGCTAGGTCAGCTTTTCATCATGTTTTTCATCTTCCTCGTAGTTCATCTAGTATTTTTGTAATAAACGACTTGTAATTGAATCATTTGGCCGAATCCTTCTAAAAATGAGCACCCCAAGTACTTCTTCTAAAAGCCCACCCCTGCACCCCCCAATAGTGAGATCTAGATACCAGGCATGGTCGAATTGATTCTATCATGATGTTCTCATCTCCTCAGCTGGACGGTGCCATGGAGGCCACTTTCTCAGAGAGGCGACACCTCATCGTCAAGAGGAAAATCCCGATGGCCACCATCCGTCGTCGATGAAAACAAAGTATGTAGTATGTACGTATGTACATTGTCATAGATAACATGAATCATTGTACATGGTCTGATGCGTTGTAAATTAGCGATCCTATGCAGTCAGAGTCAGGTGGTTTGGTGCGAGCAACTGCAGACGCGCCTTCACCGGCTCTCAGAGTCAGTTTTCTTTCTGAAGCTCATCTTGAGTTATTTTGCACCCGCCCTCATGTGTATTTTGTTTCCCTTGCCTTTGTTACCGACAGACTAGGGCCAATATCCGAAAATGATTCGATCCACAGGATCCAAGAGCGCAGTTCTTCTATCTGATTATAAATTCATCAATACTTTTTGGAGACCCTGCTGGTCCTTGATCCAACATGTTTCTTTTGTCGATGAATACCGGCGATCTTGAATCTTACATTTTTGCTCTGTGGATTGATTCTGGGGATCTTGTATCCTACATTTAGTCTCTGAGAACACATTTTTCTTGCTAAATTTCAAAATGCTTTAGCGAGGCGTAAAAGGTTGTTTAAGAAATATTTGTGCACAACCTGCTTCGCTGGCCCTAAAGTTCAAATTTAACGCTTAATTTTATGTCTACAGACATAACATTTACGTTGGATCCAGGAAATTTGAACTCTGGCATTTCGTTCTCGCGTGGGGTCCGGAATCCTAAAGTGTTATTTATACGTGCGATCCAGGGGATCTTGGATCCTAAAATTATATTATATTTTTCAATGAGATCAAGGAGATCCAGTATTCTGAAATCCTGGCATTGTATGGGATCTTGCGGATCTTGGATCTTGATTTTTGGCTAAGGCACAAGTCTGTACTTATACCGACAATGCATGCATAACCCCAGGGTCATGTCCGCCGCATGGTAGGGATTGCGAGAGTTACTATAAATGCTACTGTAAAACAGATGTGCTTGTGTGACATCGCATTTGTATGACCACCGATAACGGAACTGGATTGGCAGTTAATTTTCAGACGCTGCAGTAAGAAGTAGAAGAATTTAAGCCGGCCATGCGAATATCGATGGCGTCTTACTGGTATAGTCGTCCTTCAGCATGCGTCATTAATCCTTTGTTTTCAGGTCTGGAAAGAGCTGAGTCGGATAAAAAATGCCGACTTGCAGGACACCAACGAGTTGGAACTCTCCCGGGAAGCCATGACCCCGATTTTGGCCAATGGCGAAGGTGAAAGAGCAGCTGGATGCCTCACAGATGGTAAGTTAACAACATTTTACCCGGGAATGTTGGAACCGTAACCGAATAGGTACCAAAAGCTCATGTATTTATGAACGTCCTGTTAACAGTTTGATATACTCGTATACACTTACACGGAAAGTATTTAAAAAAAGAGCAGAAAAATGTGAAATTTCATTCGTGCTTCTTATAAGAGATCATAGAAGTTCATCGTTATATCCACTGTAGTAAACTATGCGAGCACTATTTACTCTAAGCATATTTTAATGTTATGCTCACAAGCATCTTCTAACCCGCACCCCGCGGGAGTTCCTGGATTTCCAGGCCCTGCTGGGGGGGAGGAAATGTTTGAACCCCCCTTTTAACTTAGCTCCTGGGCCATGTAGCGATACGGCGAAGGCGGCGTTCGAAAGGACGTCAAAAATAAGGAAGAAATTATTTCGGTCACTTTTTTGGTCAGGTCAAAGGTCAGGTCACCAGAGGTCATTGAATGCAAAAGTTCACCGATTTCCAGGTTAAATTTTGATAATTTTCAATTTTTGACAACATTCAAATTTTGATCAGATCAACGCATAGCTCGGAAACTAATAGAGCTACAAAACCACAGAAAGCGCCTTTGATAGCCCATTAACGCTCTTTCTGATTAATTCTCTCAGATTTGACCTGCCGTCAGTGGTTTTGCATGCGGGGGAGAGGTACCTATCTATTTTGGCAGTTTTTACGTAAAAACTGCCAAAATAGATATATATATTTTTTTCTGAAAGTTTTTCAGCAAAAATTTTTGACTTAAGCCTTTCACGTACTTTATTTTACCGGAATCGTGTTTCTCTCGGCAAGACGCATTGAATAAACTATTATGTGACCTTGAAAGGTTAACTTAAAAATTTGACCTCAGTTCAAGGTCATGACCTGACCGATAAGGGTCAGGTTGCATATAAGTTGATCCGTTCGTCGAGATGAACACAACGAAGGTGTTTTCATCGTTCTATGCCTGTATCAAAAGTTCTTCGCGAAAAACTGTCAGATACCATTCGTGACCATGAGATGTCATCAGGGGCATAAAACGGGGTCACGGGTGCCATTTTCATGTTAAGTGTGGTTGCACTAATTGCTTATATGCCTGCTTTACCATATTATCAGAGAGTATCATCGATGAAAACACTGAAATAAATTCATAAAATACAGATATTTGCTGTAAAAGAGATTAGGTGCAGATTTGGTCAAATTAGGTGCACTCGCCGGGTAGCCCGTCGCGAAAACGGCCAATATGACTTACGTCCAAAAGAGGCGCCTTTCGATTGTCTCCAATTTACTTACCTTTAACTCAGAGGTCGCAAAATTCACCTGACCTTAGGCCATCCACATCAAAATGCTAAGATATACATTTTGTACAAACTGTTGCTCTTATCAATCGCTGCAAGTTTCAAAGCAATCGGTCACTAGGGTGTAGCTATGGTAGGCTTTATAACTTTTTAAGTAGTGAGGTCACTTGGCTTGACCTGGCGACCTGACTTTAGGTGACACGGAGCGCCGCCGTTTTTTTTTAGATATTCGCGAAAATCCACAGAAGGGGTGTTCAAACACCCTCCCCCTCCCCCAGCAAGACGTGGGTTAAAATTGCGAGAGGCATACTGTACCAAATCAAAGTTTGCAGTTCGTGGCCTTGATTTCTGAAGGTAAATTTTTCCGTCGCAGACGATGCGATCGACCATCTTCTCTGCACCGTGCTAAAGAGCACCAAGTTGTGTTCATATCGGCGCCGCAGCCACGGCCTCATGTGGCGGACGACTTCCACGCCATAGAGGGCGTGCCAGCAGTGCAGTTTAAGGAGCTAACGGCAAAGGTGAACAAGCTGCTGACGTGGGGGGCCGCGTTCACAGTGTTTGCGCAGTCGTTCAACCGCCCAGCCATCCGTCTGGCCGGCTACCTGATGTGTGCCGTGATCCTGAAGACCGATGTGTCGCCGCCCCCAAAGCAGTGGCGGCGATGAGCGGCTGCGTTTAGGAGTGCACGGGAAGGGACATGAGGCAGCACTTTAGGGACTTTCTGTCTCTTTTTGTGTTTGAGTTTCTGCCGGGTAGTTTTGCAAAGAAATGGCGTTAACGCTTTTTCATGCGTGTAGGCCAAGTTCATGTCTGGAAGGGCATGAGCGTCGTGCTGTGTTCATCGCCCTTGTTCATATGATCAATGATGTAATAGTCGTGGTTTATCTGCATGCTATGCATTGTTTTAATAAACCTTATGTTTTAATGTTATGACTCTCATCTCATGGGTGAGGCTGACTGCCAGGGGATGAGTCGACAGAGTGGAAAAACCGGCGGCAGAGCGACCTAATAGGTGTGTTCACTTGACCATCATGTTATGAGTTACATTTAACTCGCGTATCAATCGTTGCATGGCATGAGTTACTAGCAATGCTTGAATTCGTCACAAACGGTAAACTCATGTGGTATGAGTGAGGGAACGAGAGTTAACCCGCAACTCATTGGTGATGTGACCGCTACAGGGCTAGTAACATTTACTAGCGCCTCATGTAGTCAAACGTGTGGTGTCTTCATGAACGGTGTAATATGAGTAAGCCTATACACGCATATCATGAGTAATCAAAATGAGTTACCAAGAGTACACTGAAAGAAAAAATGACACCCTGTACGGGGTATTGACGGTCATGTCAAAAATAACACCCGAGTGGGTTGTTTTGAGGGGAGTCGCTGAGCTATTAAAAATGGGGTGTTTGGCGTACACCCCAGGAGGGTTTCGACGCATAGTGGGGAGTCGCAGCCGCTAAAGGGGGGTCAGCGCCGGCCAACATGGGGTTCCGTTAGACTGCAGGTGACACCCCTCAAATATCAGCCGAGCACCCCTTTTTGGTCCCTAAGCACCCGACAGGGTGTCAAACTACCAAATTAGGGTGTAAAATATACCAGCTCGACTCCCCCGTTCTTCTGATACACCTTCCCCATATTGTTCCTGACCCCCACGCGGGGAACCCCGTGCCTTCAGCAGGGAATCGCTCAGAGCAGCTCTACTCCCCTATACTTCCGAAAAACTCTCGTCGAGGGTTAAATGTCTTTCGGAACGAGAATCTCAGACTATATTTATAACCGGGTGAGGAGTTACTCTTTCCGTTCGCGGCCTTGCGGCGCCCTGTAGTGTGCACGACCAACGTATGACACGGTAGCTTTTTTAACCGAGAACTTTTGTAGGTTGGAACAGATTTTTTGCGTATATCTCAACTTCTAGACGTCCAATCGGCTCAGGCAAAACACCACGCGAATTCAAATTTTTTTCGCCAACCATATAGGGGAGAGTGGAGCACATTCGTGCAAAAAATGGATAAACCCATATATCTGTTCTTTGGTTAGTGCAATGGCAAAATTGTTGATTGTAGTATGGAAAGGAACTATTGCAGATAGTTTTCCTCTTTAAAAGTTATCCTATAAAAGTATTGCTTCCATTAGAAAAAATGACTTTTATTAACTCTGAACATTTGCACGAAACTGCCCCACCTATGGGGCACATTCGTTCAAGAGATGGGGCACTTCCGTTCACCCGGCAAAATTCGAGAAATTACCGGGCATTACCAGAAATTTACCAAAGGAAATTGGCAGGGGGTCATTTCACTTGATTCCTTTCGACAAGAATGCATTGCACAACAAATGTAGAAAGAATGGTCTGGCCAACAAGAATGTGCCAACTGCCGGCCTCCGTGACTTCGCCAAGTTCGCGTGAATTGCTCGTCACGACGTCGCAAGCAGTCGAGACTGAGTCAGGCGAGCGTCATTAGAGAAACCTACTACAGATAAAGTCAGGGGCGCGGGAACTACTTTCCGACTGGGGGGGGCACACCATAATAGAGATCAACCTAGGGAACCCCCAAATCTAGTTTTCTCACCGGTTTTAGGCCACTTATTTTTCACCCCTCGGCTTTTTCAACAAAAAAAGAAAACATTTGCAAAAAAAATGTGGTATTCCGTCTCAAAGCTGGGGGGGGCACCGCCCCCACGGCCCCAGAGTTGGGGGGGCAAGCTGCCCCCACTGCCCCCCCCGGCTCCCGCGCCTATGGATAAAGTCATAAATCGCAAAAACTAAAAAAAAAATATGCACGAATGTGCCCCCAGGCAGTGCGTACACGAACCTGCCCCACAACGTTATTAGTAATATATTTCAAAATTTCTTTTTGAAAAAATGACACTTTTTCAACAAACAAGTTTGCAGCAGTTCCGTGAATAGAGTGGGCTTCTTCACCCCCAATTTTGAAAAGCTGAACCACGTTTCCGAGTCAGGATCACGAAAATGGATGATATGAGAAAAGTTTGGAAAGCTCACGAATATTACAAATTTGCGTTTTTATCAAGCATGACAGCAGGTACAGTGTTGTCTTCTACGGTGAACGAAGGGCGGCAATGATTGACATATTTCCATAATTTACCTTGAGCTCGTGCAGTCACTCGTGTTCCCATAAACTGCTGAAAACGAATGTGCCCCACTCTCTCCTATATCATTTCCATGCGTAGCGATAGCGAGCAAAGATTCCCTAGCGGGCCTTCGGCCCGCGAGGACACTTTCCATTTTTTTATTTTTGCCCAAGGGGGCCCCCTGGGCACGGCACCGCCAGTCATACCGCATTTGCGGTATTTGCGGTATGGGCGGTACGCCCCTGACTGAGGGTCGCAGCGACACTTTGGAATGCAACACGGGGTGTCACTCCAGGATAATGACACCCCAGAGGGGTTTCAACGGGGGTGTCTCAGCGACACTCCAATTTTTTGGCCTGCAATTTTTGGGGAGTTCGCTAGCCGAACCTCTCCCAATGGGGTCATGTACATTTTTGGGGCGTCAAAAGGTAATGGGGCTCCCGTGTCGGGTGTCACAACACCCATGACATCCTAAAATCATGAAAACGGAGCCTAATTTAGGAGTATTTTGGAGTATGGGGTGTCAGATTGTAAGAAATGGGGTTTCCCGATTTTTTTCAGTGTACATGAGTTTTTCACAATCGGTTAACTCATAATACACGAGTGAAGAGACATGAGTTAACGCACAATTGAGAGGTGGAATGACCGGTGCAGGCCTAGTTACATTACCGGCGCCTCGAGCAGCCAAATAGGTTGTTTAAAATTACCGCCGGTTCATGAGTTTACTCATCACCCATGGGTAATTTTGTTTTCAGTGGTTACATAAAACGTTTTCGTTGCACTTTTGCAAGCGTACGGACACATGTAAAGTTATCTACCTGGGCAAAAAACATCGCGATTTATATCTACATTTATTATTTATCCAGCCTGAATAACATTATAAATGTTTAAGTAAGCCGCAATGACATTAGACTGCCGGGGTGTATGCATTCCGTCTCATTCACTTAGCCATGTTTAATATAGGGCGCAATTGGGTTCTAATTGCGCCATCCCCCTGGCGCAATTCACAGCAGTTGTTGGCAAATGCGCCCTTTTGCATGTTTCTGAAAAATGTTTACTTTAATGAAAAACAATATCAAATTCTTATCTGTATTCAATGTAAACGCATTTCGATTATTTCTTTATCAATACATTGATACAATACAGATAATGAAAACACACGATTCAATGTGGGTGAACGCGAGCGATGAGATTGATATTTCAAACATTATGACCTATTCACGTGGCAAAACTTTCTGTTCCCTCCATAAAATTCTACCCAAAATTGGTGCCAATGAGTAATCTCCTCTTTTTGAGTTGATGTTTGGCAAACATTCAATCACCGCAGCTTCGATCAGTTTTCGTCGATTTTTCCCTTTTCCGCTCCATAGAATTCTTGCGTCTTTCCACTTCGGTAAATGGTTTTGTTCCTCTATATGAATAACGAAAGAGCTTGTATCTTTGTGGTTTCGAACGTCTCTTTTATGTTCGTCTATTCTCTTCTTCATTCCTCGATATGTTTCGCCTATATAAGATTTGGAACACCCCCCGCACGGAACTCTGTAGACGACGCTGTCCAAACTTTCGCCGTTCTTTTCTTGATTATATCTTTAGTCTTAAGACCTGAAAAAGCAGCTGTCAGAAGCAAACGAAGCATTCTTAACCCTCGCCCGTATGGGGGGGTCGAACGGAACCCCCATGGTTTTTCACGAATAACTCGCGTAAAAAGCGGCCGATCGCAACGAAACTTTCAGTACCCTCGCGTTAATCCATTTTACACCTACCCTGAAAATTTCATGACCCTGACCCCAAGGACCTTTGACCTGTGACCTACTTTTCAAGACTATGTTTGGCCGGAATCGCGATTCGGCGTATGTCGGCTCGCATTAGCCGCGCGTTTGCAGTCTTTTCCGTGGTTTCAAGCGTTCAAACATGTGATATGATGTTGCCCCCATGCATTAGGGTGGGTGTCAAGGTCACCTGAAGGTCAGGTCAGGTCATTGACCTTTGATGACCTCGGTTCACCTTTTCGAGTTTTACATGTTTCCAGGCCAGTTTTTGGAGCTGAATTCGAATTTAGCAACCATATGAACATTTACGAAGTAGTTTTGGTGCCTTCGTAACATGTTACGAAGCTGTCAGAGGCGGTTGACACCTACTAGGAATACCCGGCAGGACCCCTACTGGTTGACCTGACCTGACCTGACCCGACCTGGACTAAATGCATGAAGACATTACATGATATTCGTGATCAGCACCCTGAAAACCCCCATAGCAGCCACACTTTACGACGTTCTAACAGGTCCCGATTTTCCCCGACTTTTGGGTCATTGACCTGACCTGCAAGGTCAACCAATGACCTAGGACCTTAAAATTAGGTATCATCGGCTTCCTCTCGTCACGGGCAGCACGCTCGTTTTTTCCGCGAAGCTCTAGCTCAATCAGGGGCGAAACGGCAAAGGGGGGGGGGGTCCAACGGACCCCCCTTATACGTTCGCGGCTGGAAAAACACCAATACGGGCGAGGGTTAATTGATCGGGAGGCTCTTAAATCGTAGCCAATGAGTTCCTCTTTGAAATGGCTACCAGTGCATGCTTATATCTCCAGCGGTTCTCTTACAATTAGCGTTTTTCCTTAAGGTGGCGCAATGCACCCTCCTTCCCCTACCTAACTGCCATGCGGCGGTAAGGGCTGAAAATCACGCTTTTAGGGGTATCTCGTCAACATGGAGCAGGATCATAAAATAGAGCGCTCTAATTTTAGCTTATTTCCCTGGTACCTATGTCACCGACTGCTGTTTGTCACCGATGCGTCCTTGAAACCTTATCAGGCGCCCCTGCGAGATTGGGGGCCC